TACATAAATTTCTGAACCCCTATTACCTCTTCTTTAAAATGGGCTAATAGGCCGGGTGCATTGGCTCACGCCTATAATCCCAGCACTTTGGGAAGCCGAGATGAGAGGATTGCCTGAGCCCGCGGGTTTGAGACCAGCCTGGTCAACTTGGTGAGACCTCATCTCTACAATAAGTCAAAAATTAGGTGGGCATGTTGGCGTGGGCCTGTAGTTACGGCTACTTGGAAGGCTGAGACAGAAGGATCACCTGAGTCCAGCAGGTCGAGGCTGTAGTGGCTGTGAGCGTGCCACTGCACTCCAGCCGAGGCGACAAAGTAAGACTCCAACTCAAAAAATAAATAAATAAAATAAAATAGGCTAATAATAGTATCTACCTCATAGAATCGTTGGACTGACAATTGAGTTAATAATATAGGTATGTCCAGGTTTGGTGACTCATGCCTGTAATCCCAGCATATTGGGAGGCCAAGGCAGGAGAATCACTTGAGCCCAGGAGTTCGAGACCAGCCTGGGCAGCATAGAGAGACCTTGACTCTACAAAAGAATTTTTTAAAAATTAGACAGATGTGGTGGTGCGTGCCTGTAGTCCTAGCTACTTGAGGTGGAAGGATCACTTGAACCCAGGAGTTTGAGTCTGCGGTGAGCTGTGACTGTGCCACTGCACTGTAGCCTGGGTGAAAGAGTGAGATCCTGTCTCAATAGTGATAATAATAATAATAAGGTAAAGTACTAATATTAGTACCTAGAACATAGTAAGCACTATGTACATTTACCTGGCATAAATAGATGCTGATAATGGCAATGATGATGCCACCCAATAGTCAGAAAGCTGGCAGGAACAGAACTGAGGATTTATAACCAAAATTCCTGACAGAATCACCGATGGCTCGGATCCTTTAGAATTGAGATTTTGGGTCACCCCACCAGGGAAACAACCCCAATGAGCCAAGGTATAGGCTGAAGGCAAAGAGAAAATGGAGTGGGTCACAGAGAAAGGTAGTTGTAAATAACAGCAGCAGCCTCAGACCTGTTGCAAAAATGAAAATTCCAAAAGGCACTTAAAGTGTTTTCCTTGCCCTGTTATGTAAACCTTTTCGCTTGTCTTCCTCTCTTTTTCTTTTGCTCTCTATTTTATATATGGTTGCACTCTCAACCAGGGGTGGTTTTGACTCACTGGAGACCTTTGGCAATGGCTAGAGACATTTTTGATCGCCGTGACTTTGGAAGGCGGTGTGCTACTGACAACTAGTAGGTAGGTTGCAGGAGATTGCTAAACCACCCTGCAATGCACAGAAAAGTTGCCCACAACAGAGAAGCATCTGGCCCCAAATGTCAACATTCTCAAGATGGGGAATTCCCGATAAAGGTGTGTAGATGGTGGTTCACGTTTTAGTCCATGTGTTCCAGGATATCAAGGTGGAAATGGAATTGAACCAAAGAGGGTTGAACAATACCCGGAAATGGATGGATGACAGATGGAACATTGAGTCACCAATGTTCCCTTTTAAGGAGAGGGCGAGTGATTTTATATCTATATGAGTAAGTGACATTATGTTGGGGCCATGTGGTGGTTGATGTTGTTTTGGGGGTGTTTGAGGGGAAGGACGGTTGGATGAATGTTGAGAGACCGAAAGGGTGGAATTTGGCAGACATGGTGGATTGGTTCACTTATCATCTCTCCCAATCTCTCTCCAGCATGCTATCCAGTTCGTCAGAGACTAGAAAGGGAGACACTCCATTTCTCAGACTCACCTACAGTTAGGGATCTGGGTGTGACAGATCCCACCAGCTAGACGCACTCCTGTGAGACCTGCCTGCAGTACTGGGTCACGTGGGTGGTCAGCAGCACGGAGGGGGGGCGTCCATCTTGCTGTGCAGTTTCAGGCATGGGGGGTTCTGGAGTCAAAAGCTCTGATAATGACTTTCTAATCCACAGATGCCAGCCAAGGCAGACATTCCTAGAACCAATGCTCACAACAGCAGCTTCCCAGTTCTTGGCCAAAGCGGTGTCATTCCAGAGCCAGCAGCTGGGACAGAGGATTCCAGAATGTGGCAGAGTCAGCAGGTGGGCTGATTCTGTAGGGTTGTTTTGAATGTCGTTTCTGAAAGCCTAACCAAGAGCTTATTTATTTCCCTAGCCCTTCCAATGACGTTTTAAAAATAAATGTATTTATTTATTTAATACAGACAGGGTCTCACTATGTTGTTCAGTGTGGTCAACATACTGGGCTCAAGTAATCCTCCTGTCTCAGCCTCCCAAAGTGCTGGGATTATAGGTATGACCCATCATACCCAGCACCCTTCCAATTATTTTATAAATACTAAAACCCCATACGGAATTCATTAATCCTTAAAATGATGGGTAGTTTCCATAGTAAAACCCTGATTGATAGAGCAATATATAGTATCTAAAATGTAGAAATAATTCCCATTTATCAGTAAGAAAAAGGAGGGAAAAAAGGAAATTAAGCAAAAGACATGAACATTCCAGAGGAAGAAAATATGAATGGCCTATAAACTTGAAAAAAATGTTCAGCCTCATGAATATTCAGGATAACCACAATGAAATACACTTTCACACCACCGGACCAACAATTTAAAGACATTTTTGGAGTGCCACTGCACTCCAGCCTGGGTGACAAAGTGAGACTCTGACTCAAAAACAAAAACAAAAACAGGCTGGGTGCGGTGGCTCATGCCTATAATTCCAGCACTTTGGGAGGCCAAGGTGAGAGGATTGCCCGAGTCCACGGGTTTGAAAACAGCTTGGGCAACTTGGCGAGACCTCATTTCTACAATCGATCAAAAAATTAGCCGGGCATGGTGGTGCATGCCTGTAGTTCCAGCTACTTGGAAGACTGAGGAGGAAGGATCGCCTGAGCCCAGCAGGTTGAGGCTGCAGTGATTGTGAGCATGCCACTGCACACTGCACTTCAGCCTGGATGACAGTGAGATGCTGACTCAAAAATAAATAAATAACAAAAACAAAACAAAAACCAGCAAGTGGAAAGGAGAAATGTGGTACACTGTAAATATAAAATTATATAAATACATATGGGAAGGACAGACTGAGGCATCTAGCTCCTATGAACACTCAAAACCCCAGGAGCTGTTGAACTCCCCTTTATCTGGCTGCCTCATCCTAAAAACCCCTAGATTGGAGGCCTGGAGACCTGGGCTCCATCCATAGCTGTCTGTAACTTCCCGCAAGACCATTTCACTTCTCTGCATCTCGGAGTCTCCTCGCCTGTCCAATGGGAACAATTTTTACGAGCGCCCTCCTGCTCATCTCAAGAGACCGTGAGTCTGATCAAAGGAGGCAATGGCTGTGGGAGTGAGAGGATCACGAGCACTTCTCACAGAGGCCAGAATTCAGGCGGCAGTTCTGTCCCTTGCTGCCACGGGGCCTTAGGCAAATTTGCAATTTCTTTCACCAGCTTCTCTCACCCGTAAAATGAGAGTAATGGTAACAGTATTCTGCACTACAGAGCTGCTGTGAGAATGAAGTGACGTGCACAGTGTCGCCCCGAGCACGGTACCTGACACACCGCGGCGCTCACTCAACGTTAACTACGAATGTAATCTAACGGTACCTTTGGTAATGAGGGTTCCAATGTCAAGACCGCCGAGTTCTTGTCTGCTCTTCCCCCTCGCTGACGCCAGAGGGCGACATAGACGGTGGGACCCCGGCCACAGGCGCACCCGCTGCAGTGCCACTGTCGGCCACGCGGTGGCGCTAAGCCACCGATCGCTGTATCGGGCTTTTCGCAGACTTTGGGGAGCTGAGGGGGGAGATTAGGGAAGGGGGAACCCTGGAAACGGAGGCGCCCTGAGCCAGAGGTTCGGGGATCCCTGCGCCGAGTGGCTCCCGGGTCCCGGGACACCGTGGGACCAGCTGGCAAACAGTGAGCCGGTCTTAACCCGAGGGCTCCGGGTCTTCGCAGCGTGGCTCTGCGTCCCCTTCCCGGGGCGCCGCGGCGCCTGCCGGGGGAGCGCGCATCTCGGCGGCGCGCTCCTCTCCTAGTTGGGGCTCATTCATCCGCGGCCGCCGCACGCCGTTGCCATGGAGACGTGATGCAGGCGTGGATGGGGGGAGGGAGGGAGGCCCCGGGTGACGTCGGCGCTGCTCGCAGCTCGCCTCCTGCGGCCTCCCGATTCTTGCCTATTTTGGAAGCGGGCCGCAGCCCTTCTGCTGATGCGCGCGCGCTGGCGCCTTTTTAAGGCAACCGGCGG